CTTTGCTGCGTGAACTCATTGGCCCTCAGCTTCTTTTCTTTTTGCGACGGCAAACACGAAAAAAAGAACCGGGGGGCCCACGGGGATCTCAGCAAACCATGATTTCTGATCGACGCCTGCGCCCATCTTCGCCAGGCCATCCACGATGCAGCAGTGGTTCGGCGTGCACCATTCGAAGGGGCTTTGCGTCGAGAATACCGGCGGGTATCCCTTTTGTCGGATGAGGTCAACCAGTCCCCGGTGCATGTCTCTCCAGTAGGCAGAGGTAAAAGGGTGTCCTTTCAACAGAAGCCTCATGGGAACTCCTAGATGCAAATTCCTCTTCGATCCGAGCGCTGTCCACAAGTTCAGGTCGAAAGCAAAATGCAAAAGCTCGTAGGAAAAGGAAAAATCCAGGACAGGGGATAAAACGAGAGCCATGTAGCTTCGCTTTGTGCCCGTCACATCCGCAGCTACCTCCTCCTCTTCGTCGGCTGCCTGCCCCCGGGCTCGTTGCTCCAATGTCGACTTGTGTGAGCCACGGCTTTGCCGGCTGGTAGACTGCAAGCGGGCCCACGTCAAACACATGTCTCTTCGAAGAAACAAGTGCGGCCACAGCGCGCACTCCAGGCCCTCGCCCTCCAGGAAGCGCAGCCATCTTTTGCGCTGCCGCCGGTCTGCCTGCGGGTTGGCCTGCAAAAATGCATCATGGGCCTCCCAGTACTGGCCATACGCAGACTCGCCTGGGCCTGGACCTGAGTGTTCCCACAGCCATTCCAGCACTCTGTTCGCGAGGGCGGCCTCCGGCCGCGGCAGCGCCTGCACGCGCTCTTCCACCGGCTTTTCTGCCCAGGCAAATGTCACCAAAGCGGACTTCACTCTGTAGCCATTGCCCCGCCCAAATTTGTCTTTCGACACCTGGAAAGGCCCAAAGTCGCACTCCACCGGGCGCAGCGCGGCCAGGATCTCGGGAGTCACCTGCTTCACGAAGTCTGCGTGCCCGGGCACTTGGGGAGGTCGCCGCTGGTTACGGCAAAAGATGCACCCAGACTTCGCAATCCACGGGCTCAGCACTTTCTCCATGCTCTGAGGTGTCAACTCTCGTGGCTGCAGTGCCTTGCACTGTGAGCATACGCCCCAGGAGTTGAATTCGGCCCAGAACTGCAGCGCCGCAGCCTGCTCTGTGCTCCGCGCTCGTGGCAACGGATCCCTGTTATCCACTTCCCGGCCGCGTGGCAGCCGCTCCGCCGCAATGCCCAGCATGTTCAAGGCCTTCTTGCGGTCTTCGACGACGCGCTCCCTGAAGGCCGCGTCTGTTCGGAGCGGGGCGCCTGCTAGCTGCCTGCTGCAAGGCCATTCCGAAAGAAACACATGTTCATGTTCTACCAAAAACACCATGCTGCTGTCTACTTTGTGATGGCTTTAGGGGTGCACAAACAGAAACTCATGTCCATGGCCTAACGTGAAAAACATGGTCTGCACCTCTTCGGGATGAGACTGAACGATGCCAACTGCAAAAATGCCACGACTGGTCTCTACCGACAGGGGGTTGTTGGAGTTTGGCCCTCTGGTCGACGAGCCTCATGTCCAGCGCCTCGGCCCACATGGCTCTGCCCTTCTCGTAGAGTGCTTCCAGAGCGGCCTCGTCGTAAGGAGGTTCTGTGCGGGCCAGTTGGTGTTTGACGGCCGCTACCTGCCGCACTTCCGGGCCCACTTGAGACACCCGCTGTGCTGGCGCGGGCCCTGTGCCTTGTAGCCATTCTCTGAAGCCTGGGTCTGTGACCCGCTGGAGCACTGCAGGTCTTTGCTCCGCTGACGAACGCGCAAAGCGCTTCTTCAGTGCCAGGCTTGCCGACCCATCCAAAAAGGCGTCGTTGAGGCGCTGCGGGTCGCAAAAAATGCACGTCGCCGGGCCATTGGGTTGGGCTGCCTGCCCGTTCGCCCCGAATGTGCAAGCTGTGCGACCATAGCCCTGGCAATATTTGGCCGCCTTCTGTTGGGCTGCTTGTTGCAGCTGTTGCCTGAGGCTTGCGTCGGTGACCCGTTGCAGGGCCACTTCGCTTTGCTCCGGGGACAGCTGCTTGAAGCGCTTCGCCACAGCCGGGGCAGACTCAGCATCCTCCAGCGCTGCGGTCAAGCGGTCTGGGTCGCAGAACAAGCACCTCTGCGGGCCATTTGGCTGCGCTCGCTTGCCCTTTGGCCCAAAAGTGCACTCCACATCACCGTGCCCTCGGCAAAACTTCGCCGCCTTGCCACGCGTTGCGCAGCTATGCACAGTTGAGGTTTTCATTCGTCATGCTATGCACAGTGTGCGCGGCAGAACTGTGTCGCAAAACTTGCGGCGCCTTCTGCTTCTTCTGTGGGGGCTCCTAGTGGAAACAGGACTGTTGGGGGAAGGCCTCGTTGCTCTTAGCATCAAACACTTGTTGGACGCGTTCTCTGGGTGGCTGGCCTGGGCCTCATCGAAGGCTTGCTGCACGGCCAACGCCAGGTCGGCGTCCTCTATGTCCACGGTCGGCACCTGCAAAACACACCGTTGCACCAGGTCTTGGGGTGGAGGAAACAACTCAGGCCATGGCCCGTCGGTCCGTGGAGGACCCTGCCATGCTCGTGGCGCCCCGTCCGTGCTGGGTGCCTTTCGGCCTTTCTTTTCTGGGCGGTGTGTCCCGCGCCCGTGTCTGTGTGCGCGTGTGTGCTGTGTGTCTGCGTGTGGGCGTGCGCGCGCGCGCCTGCGCCTGTGTGTCTGTGCGCCCTGTTTGCACGCGTGTGATGCAGCTTCGAGCAACACGAGCAAAGAACTCAGTGTCTGGCGACTTGGTCTGTTTCATGTACACTCACTGGGGTCATCTGTCCGCAAAAACACGGCATCGACACAACAATAGACTTTTCGCCGCGGGCATGCACTTTTGCGTCAAGGCCTTTGCCGGGGGGGGTCGCCACCCCCCCCTCCGCCTGGGCACGCCCCGTGACTTCATCGACCCTTGGGTTTTTTGTTTTCCCAGGCGGGGCCGCTTCCCAGGGGTCTCCGTCACGGGCGTGGACTAACCGTGCCTCGGGGTCACAGACGTCTTCGCTTCAGACGTTTCACGTTCCGCGGTCGAAATTCGAATTGTTGCGCC